GACAGAGGTGGGGCTGCCATGCATCGGCGCCACCGGACCCTCTGACCACCATCAGTAGGCAAGGTGGGTGAAGTGTCTTGCCCAAGGACACAACGACTGAGATGGCTGGACRGGGGATCGAACCAGTGACCTTCTGGTTCCAGGACGACTCCCCTAACCACTCCGCCACAGCCGCCCCTTTTATTGGTAACTACAATCAAATTACTGTTCAGTAGTACCTCTATTATATATTATTAACCAAAAGAATACAAATATGTAGAAACATAAGTAATTACATGATAAAGTAATTTATTTACCAAGTAGCTGCATAGTAAAATGTCATTACTTAGCATGTAAATACTGGGTAATTGCATGGTAATTAGGGGACTGTAAAAGAAAGGGTTACCGTAAATTTCACATACTTCCATAAGCTTCATTAGCGGTGGAGAATCATTATATTAGTTCAAATAGTCTCCAAACAATATCATTTATCATGATAATTTCTGTCCAGCAAAATTAGTTTGACAAGCCTGAAGTCCTGCGTAACACGACTTCTAGTCGCGTCTTCGTACCAAGGTGGTGTATCTGAGTCCGGTCTGTGTGAACTCCTGGGACTGCAGCAGCTCTGCCTGGAAGCGAGCTTTAAACACAGTAGTGTCCGTCTCTTTCAGGGCCCCGTGGAGAGCTTTCCGCAGCACCAGGTCCGTATCCTGAACCCCGAGCATGTACTGAGAAGCAGCGTGAAGCAGACAGTTCCCATCTCCTGCAGACGCACAAAAAGCAAGCAGTTAATAATTGTCCATGGGTTACAAATGTTTTAAAACTGTGCACATACATATACAAACGCTCGGTGCTCAAAGCGGACAGGCGCTGTGCGTGCACACTAATGTGTAACTAAAGTCTGGGGATTTCCAAGCCGTTGGGCTAATCGTCACACTATCTGCTTCACAGCTTATAGCTAGATCCTCATATATCTAAAAACACACAAGCACTGCAGACAGGGCTTCAACTTCAGATAGAAATCATTTACTCAACTTTTGAAAAAAGAAAAAGGACATTTCTGAGAAAAAAAACGGAGACAACTTTTTGTTCTTCTTTAATGTCAAAGAACTATCTTTTAAAAGTTTTCTAACAGCCCAAGGAAATAAAGTGTTGCTCAAAAGAAGAGTGTGTCAAAGTGCTTTTTTTAAATGCTGGAATTTTATTTTGTCTCCTTCAGCAGCTCTGGGTCTTTTTCTCATTGTGAAACAGGAGAGGTTGTATTTGTCTATGTGCAGCTCTTTTAAAGGAAAAAAAACCCTGTTGTCACACTAAACACAGGAATTTCCCTCGACTAACTTCTGTTTTTTTTTGCTCACATTATGCGTGTGTGTTTGATCCCTCGTATGATCCCAACTCATCAATGCTACTCAGCAGGTCCTGTACTTTCCACAAAGGCGTGACTTTGACAAGAAGGAATGTTAACTACTGTTATCATGGATGTTGAAAGTGAAAATGCATGAGAGCCCTCACATGTATGAACACAAAGATRTACAGTTACTGCAACGTAAAGTCTGCCTACTTTTTGTGCACAAGTTTACATCCAGAAGAAGCTCAAATACACAGTAAATTTCCTGATTTAGTCCATGTGGGAGTTTTTCTTCTTCTTTTTTTTAAAGGGTTTGGCCTTCACAACAAAGATTCTAAAAATACGTCTCGCCTTGAGGTGTGTTGTAGGCCGAGCTGTGAACAGATTTCTAAAATTAACATTTTTTTTTCTGCGTTTATGAGATGACTGTGATGTGCGCTGCAGCTCTTTTCATATGACTGGAAGGACATGCCACTGATTTTGAAGCAAAAAAATAACATCCACTTCCCTTCCAGACTAAAAAGCTCTTTTTGCGTGTCGGTGCTCTTGCATCACTCTTCAAAAACATACGGTGCACACAGCTCACTCATGAATAATATATATATATTTCYTTCAAATACACATTTGTTAGCAAAATATATGTCCGTATGCCAACTACGTAAGTGCTTTTGTTTACCTACGAAAACAGCAAATAGGTCAACAATGGAGACATATGGAGAAGCCATTTGGGAAGATTTGATGTATTGGTTGCATTTATGCTCAGATTTCTTGAGTAGAGTGTGCTGGTAAAAGTGCTTTGTTGTTTTGGGATACAATTCAGCACTACACATTTTATATTTGGATAACTCTTTCAAACTGTACCATTTCATGTACGTAGTTCAGAATATCTTTATGTTTGATGTGAGTACTTTTAAAATAGGTGCAAAATAATGAAGTACAAAAAAAAGAACACTCTTGATGTAGWTGAAGTCTTTTACGATAAAATGATGCTGATTCTTTTATTGCAAAATCAAAYTGAGGATAAATCCCGAAGTGGTATGTCTAGAAATAGGCAGCTGTAGTTAACAGATTGAAATGTTTGAAATTTGACAGTAAAATGACATCAAATATTTCTAATTAGAATAACCTAAAATCAGGATTCAGACAAAATATCAATGGGTTATCCTGATCAAGGCAGATCTCTGGAACTGCTCAAATCAGGATATAACTTTTAAAAAAAAGTATCCTAAAAAGCAGGAATCTGAAAATGAGCTCAGGTCATTTTGACATAATCTAAACACATGACACACATGATGGTGTTTGGGACAAATCCTCATATTGTGAAGTGAAGACAAACTAAAATTTAATGGCAGTCATTCACAGTACAGAGGGAGACGAGAAAATGAATGCGGCCTTGTAACCGAGGCTTTTTATTTACATAATTTACGTCAGTTATTATCTTTGTTAGATTTAAACTCTCTGGAGGTTTGAGTTTTTAGTATTTTGACGCAAACGAAAGCCTGAGAAAAATACGGTGGAAGCAAATTAAAGTCCCAGACGATGTTGGACGTTCTCTGATGGTCTTAGCGAGTCATGTTCTCTCTCTGTATGTATGCCTGCTGAGGTCCAGTGACTCAGCAACAGTCAGTCCTCTCTGAGTATGTGTGTGTRGATGTGTGTGTGTGCTGTGCGTCCTCTGCTCAAAGTCACGTCTGGGTCCTTCAGAGTTAGACAGCCCTTCTGCATTCGGTCTCATCTCTATGACATCAACTTCGCAAGCCAGGAAGTTCCTTTCAGGTTACCGGCAGACTAGCTTGTCATCAATTAAAGGGTCCTTCTCGGAGAGGAACTATATGCACGGACGAAAGTTGCAGTGACTCATTCAGTTATTACACACTTCATAAATGACAGGGACGCTTGGGACGTATTATAAAACGTCCAGTAAGTTCCTCACCTGCCCAATGCAAATTCTCAAATGAGGAATAAGGGTGATGTAGGAATTTCTCACAGACAGAAAATATTTCCTCTGAAAACCCACAAGTTCAGGTCAAAGTCACAGTGCAGATTGATTTCCACTTCCTCCTTCTGTTGTGAATGCTATAGCTGATGATTCCCTTCAAAGACTGTTTTTTCCCCTTAACCTAAAATAGACCTGGTGTACATGCCAGATGTGCGTGACGTTAAACACAGAAAAAAAAAAGGCCAGGAAATAAGCCAAGACACAGTTCGGTCATATGTGAGACATGTGATTGAGATGTTGACCTGAATCGGGCAGATGTGAGTAAACCAAAGTGTTGTTTTGACCTTAAAGAAAGAAAAAATAACTAGGTGAAGCCCACTGCAGCTTGAAATGAAAACAGTGGAAATAGTCTGGCCTAAAACACCGGCAACAGTAAACAGTGGTGTTTCAAGTGACGCAAGTGAAATTTCCCGGATGAAGCTGTGAWCAGAAGAGCCCGGACCCCCATGCGAGTGTTTGTTTACGCAGGCTGGGATGTTCCCGAGTTACAACATGAGCGTAACAGAAAACATGACTTAGCAGCAGTGGGCTGCCCGAAATCCTTTGAGAGGCTCGGTTAAAAACCGACAAGACGGCTAAATGAGTCTGTGTGAAAGTGGAACCTGTGTGCCTTCGCTGCCGTCACTTACAGTAACTCGGCTTGTGAGTAATAAAATCTCAGAACATACATATCAAATACATTTGACTCACGCGGTTTCTGCTATAGAAAATGAAACAAAAGCAACARCCGTGCTCGCAGCGCAGCAAAAAAGATAGCGAGAGTTCCTAAAAGTGAGAAGACCAAGTTTTAAATMGACTAAACCCATCTGCTGAACTGTCCGACTCAACTTCCTCATTCAGACACAAATACAATGAATCTTTTTGATAAAATACTCCCAACTGCAGGGAAACTTTCCATTCCGACACTTTCCTTCAGTGTTTTCTTACCATTGGTGCGCAACGGCACCATCTTCTTCAGTTCCCGGCACCAGTTGAGCTTCTTCTCCTGCTCCAACGAGGCCTGCATCGCCCGGTCCAGGATGGCGGCCTGCACCACCTCCCTGAAGGCCTGGGGGAAGTGGTTCATGGCGATCATCTCCAGCGTGTGGCGGTGCATCCCGCGCAGGTGGTGCATGAGGTCGCCCCGGGCGGCGGGCTTCACCACGTCGTTGGGCACTCGCTGACGGATCTTCACGGCTTTCAGCAGGTTGGAGACGAACAGGAACTTGGGAAGGAAGTTCTGACCCTGCGACATGGCGGACGAGTGGCCGGGGGCGGGGAGGGAAAGGGGAACGAGGAGGAGGCTTCAACCGGTGACGYTGGAGCAACGTGGATACTGGATGGAGAAAAAGGGGAGAAAATTGGTTATTTCATAGCTGGGGTTGAAAATAAATACATAAAATAACCATCAGGCTTGAGGAACTGCTGGGAAATTTCCTGTGGAGATTCCCCTTCCTTAATAATTGAGACTTCAGACAACCTAATCTACTGTTTGCTCGGGAAATCACCCTGAACGCAGGATTGTTTTACTTTGGACGTGTTTAGTGCTTTATRACAGAAAAATTCTGCTTATTCAAATTAAACGATGCACACAAAGAAAGCTTTGTATTCTTGCTTTAACTCAAAGTCATCTAACAATAAACTGGTGTTTTCCAGACTGCTGAGAAGGTCACGAGTCCTCCTAACCAGCTGTCTGCCTAATCTAGATTAAACCTTCATTTAAAAAGGTAAACTTCAGGGTGTTCGTACAAACACAGCTGGGTTCATCATGTAGGAGGGAAATAAGCTCCAAGTCATAGTCAAAAAAGGATCAAAATTACAGTTTTGATGCTTTAAAACCTTGACTTACTAAAAGGTTTTACAAAGCAGTAATGAAGGAAAGGCTGAAGTTGAGACGTTTTAAAAAGGAACATTTCAGCCAAAATGAAGACAGCTTTTGACAGGAAGTGAAAAACTAAAGATCAGCAAATAAACCTGGAAGTTAGCTGACTTTTTAACTCCCATCACCCCTGCTCACATGAGCTGTTCATGAGCTGAAGTTCTCAACCACCTGAAAGCTGAGCCTAAAGTGGCCTCTTTGTTTAGTTTTGTTTTTTTTTACTCCACAAACAGGGGCAGCAGGTGCAACAACAGACTACAAGGCCATGCTAAAGAGAGCTAGTCACTCTCTGAGACTTGAGGGACTAGAAAAGCTGAGACACCTGGCTGTCAGGGAGCATGTTGAGCCTTTAGCCAGGTGTGTTTTCTCCGTTAGAGCCTCTGTTGGACGCAGCGGTTTAGGATGGCGGGCTACACAAAACAAAAAAAATAAAACAATAAAACAATAGGAGACTTTGCTGACGTTAAAGGCTTACGTAATTGCAATGACAACTACCTTTAAGACAATGTAGTGCTCCTTCGCGTTTCACACGGCGCGTATTGATACAGAGAAGCGGCGCAGATGAGACATTTGTCCGTTTAAATGCCTCGTTATCCGCTCGGGGGTGACGTCTTTGTAAACAATGGCTGTCAAAGCCACTGTCGTGAGCGAGGCTTCCTCCTCCATGTCCCCAGAAACACGACCATACGTTACTCCGGGCCCAAAACACACGCCGCGTCCGCTAAAGTCTCGCCCCCCAGCTCGGTGTGGGGGAACGTCGTCCACATGGAGAGGCAGGAGAAGGCAGGACTGTTGTCTTACCTGTGTAAATATGTCGGGGGGGTGTAGTAACAAAGCCTCCCGGATGCTCAGGCTAGTCCTCTCTCAGCCACTTCACTCAGCCTCACCGCAGCGGTTCTCGGCGCCATTCAACCTTCTCTTTCCGTCAGTATAATCACATCTGTTTTAGGAGCCCTGGCAGCTCGCGGAGGCTTTCGAAACAGAGGATGCGTCTGCTTAGCTCTTCTCTCTCTCTCTTTTTTTTTWARRAAAAAAAAGTCCAAGTCAAGGGGATTTCCACACAGGGACTTTCCGTCCACCCATGTTCCTCCCTCTGTTTTTAGTCACAATTTGATGCAGTTGCAGCCCTCTGCCGCTAGGGGGCACTCTCCCTGTCTGAGTCGACTCTGAAAAGCGTATCCCACCTACTGAGCACAAAGGAGCATCACTGAGGACTCAGACAGGTCGCGTCATACTCTATTTCATGAGACAACCCTTAGAAATAAATCATTAACCCCTTCAAAAAGACCAGCTTCAGCAAATGACTCAGACAAAGGGAAAGGAAAAACTATTACTCGATGAAAAGCAGGTTTTGACTTGCTGACTGAATTTAAATGCGTTTATCTGAATGCTGCTTGACAACAATAATGTTGCTCTGACTCAGGAAAAAAAAAATACATTTATAGAACTAGAAGCAAATATATGGTTTCTGCTTCCATACAAGACCCAAAGAGTCAGAGACAGGGCCGGCCCGTGGCACAGGCAGTGTAGGCAAGCGCTAAGGGCACCGTACATGCAAGCACCACAAATGGGGGGACGAAAAAAAATTAAAACTTTTTGTCAGAGAATAGTTGATGTAATCTGTAGAATAATCACTGGTTACTCAAGTTCATGACTTGTTCTGTGTGTTTCTCAGCATGCTTTGTGACTAGATGAGATGTTTTGGTGCAGATGATATTTTGTGATAAAAGTATCATAATACAGTCAAGACTAACTACTGGTGCTCATTGTGTAAATAGAAAATAACATAAGGATAATGGAAGTTTCAATTAAAATCTCAGGGTAAAATCTGGTTTTCAGTGTTCTACTTTCATAAAATACTGTTGTTTTGTTGTTTTTTTTTGTTTTTTTGTTTTTTTTGTTATGTTAATTCCAAGAATTTAGTAAAACGTTCTTCAAATGGCTGGAAAATCCATAGTTTTAAGTAGATCTTTTACAAAATTTTCCGGAGGGTGGGTGGGGGCGGTTCTAGGGACCCCCCTAGAACTATTTCAGTCCACAGCTGCTTGTTAACATGAGCAGGTGACCCTTGTTGCTGTCAGCAGATGTTGGCAGGTATGAAATCGAATTGTAGTATTCTGGTTCAAACTATTTTTATGAAACAACCTGGTTTCTTTAGATAAAAARAATAATATCAAAGACAAAATTATTTAATTTGGTATGTGAATGTTCATAAATCGGCAGTGAGATTTTGAAAACTGCACAAGGGGCACCACCTGACCAGCCCTGGTCATATAATAACATTGTTTACCCCTTTCCAGGGGCACCACTACCACCAGATGGGGCTTCACTTACCTGTTTGCCGTTACTAATGCACATGCCTAACATTAAAAATTAGATTAATAATAGAGACTATAATGAGTCATAGTGACAAAAGTACACAAACAAGTCGATGTAGAAGTTAAAGAACCGAAAGTCACGCCTATAATTTTAATCCCCCCACCCCCACCCATGTAACTGATCGCTGAACTTAGTTGTAGACAATGACAAGGAATATTTGTTCCTTTTTAATGCAATTTCTATGAAAACAGTTATGAGTTTAAATCAATTAACCCCAAACAGTCTGTTAGTGGTGTAGAAACTGCAACTATTATGGCTTTAATGAGATGAGTAGTGCCTTATTTTAAAGGTCAGCTCCATAACTCCTTTACTTCTAAATATTTCAAATAGCCGATATACCTGACAACATCTAATAAAACCCCTGAAATTCTGCCGTGGCTTTTGGTTTTGGTGTCCCACTTCAAGATTAAACGGCCCCCAACTGGCCACCCCCTTGAAAACTTTCCAGAGGCACCCCGTCCCCTCTCATTATTTGATTACCTGAATTAGATATTTAACGTTTTTGTGCGCATTCAAACACATTCAGTTAAGTTTTATCATATGTGTTGCAGTGAAACCACCCACCTTTACTGATAAGGTGCTAAATATAAATCTGCAGCTGTCAAACATTTTGAACATGTTTTCAAGTGGAAAACGTTTCAGTTATTTACGTCTGCTGCGAGCGTTATTCCAGGAAAATCACTTAAAACTAAAACCAGAATGAATTTTTTTTTCATGAAATATCACCGATATTTTAAAAAGACATATATTTTATGAAGCAAACAGTTAACACAGATCCTATGCACATTTATTATTTTGTTGTTTTGGCAAACATAAAAACGTAATCTTTACTTGCAAATATTAAGAGAAATGCAGAAGAGTTTATCTCATCCTTCATGTTTTAGAGCAGTTTTTGGTCTTTTTTTTTTTTTTTTTGCCCTCAAAAAAGGCAATTTATGGTAATGTTGGTTTACACATGCTGCTATGAATGACTGAAACACTGATGTGGGGCTGAACCCACCAACTGTCTCACTGCAGGCTACCAGGCTACAAGCTACTGTGCTCTTTCTTCTAATTCTCACATTTGGCTTTTTTTATGTTAACCCCCAAAACATAAATAGTAAGATGATACATTTAAATGCCTTAAATGGACACCTGCCAGCCTTTATGTGAACGATGGGTGAGATAATGAAAGAGACACTCTTGAGGTTTGAATTTAACAATCCATTCATTTTCCTTTGCAAGAAAGTCAGGGGCGCCACAAAGAGGGGGCCAAATGGGAGTTGGGGTCATGGCCACCCCTAAAAAAATCAGGGAAAATATCAAAAGTGTATTTTATCATGATATTCGCACAAAGCAGGGCCACTAGGTTGTTTAATCAAAACCGTATTCACCCATATCATTATCAGAACTCATGCATGCTCAAGAATTACACGTGTCTAAATGATCAAGAATCACTCAGGTTGAGACAGTTTTGGAGAAAACGGAGACTGGCAGTCAAAAGTCATAGAAAGTGTGCTCAAGTTATGATTTAAAGATTTACAGATGAATCATTTATCATTATGACGAGGAAAGGTGAATCAAAACGTCATTGCATTTCTGTAGAAGTATAATCGAGATTAAAGAAAAATGAAATRAAGTTAGACATGCCCACTTAAAGTTGCTTTGAAATGTCAGGAGTCTAAACTGTACAGGTACAAAAAGTTGTGGTTGACTTACCTGTGATAGTGTTGAAGCCTCACTGTGGACAAATATCCAAGTAATAGCTCTGGTGTTTTCTACCTGATGTCATTATATCATACCCCTGCACCCCTCCACCCCATTCCTTATTCCATTTCCCTTTTCCTTTCCCTTCCCTGTGGAAAGACTCCTAGTTCCTTGTTTTGCTGGTAAAACACTGGAAACCACAGGTCAATTTCCTACCTACATGAGCAAGGAACAGAAACCTAAAAATCACCTGATGAACATTCACAAAGGATGATCTCACTGATCTAAGGCCATAAACCTTTTGAATGCTTTMTGTCACAGAATAAACACACGCCCTTGACAAAGTCTGAACACTCTGGAATTTGCTCAGATGCCACACTTGTGATAAATATTATCATAATAATTTTAAACTTTCCAAAAGGTTTACCCTTAGGTCACATGTTGCTGACTGAGTCATACACTGGAATGATCAATACACAGAAAGCAAAAATAGGAGCACAGTCACAAGCAGATGGAAACTCCCCCCAATAAAACAAGAGAACCACTGCTCTTCAGTATTATATATACACTCACCGGCCACTTTATTAGGTACATCTGTCCAACTGCTCGTTAACACTTAATTTCTAATCAGCCAATCACATGGCGGCAACTCAGTGCAAAAGAAAAAACATCCAGTGAGCGGCAGTCCTGTGGGCGGAAATGCCTTGTTG